GTGTGTGTGTGTGTGTGTGTGTGTGTGTGTGTATGTGTGTGCGTGTGCATATGTACGTGTGTGTGTGTGCGCATGTGTGTATGTTTGTGTGTTGTGAGTGTATGTATGAGTGTGCAGGTTAATATGAAATGATTCCCAATGAGTGTGCGAGACCACAAAGCCACCGCCCCGGAGCCCCCCAGACAGCCAGGAGAGCCCCGAGCGATCATGGACCCAGTCGCCACACAGCGGGCAGGCACCCGGGCCCCCCGCCACCGGAGGGCTTCGCGTCCGCCCAAGGAGGCAGAGGGGGGAGGCAGAGGGGGGAGGCACCGGGCGCACCCTCCCTCCCCCAAATCCCCTCACTACCGCCCCCGCACCACCCCATCATCCACGTGCTCCCCCGTTCCAGGACAAACATGCAGACAGCAGTATACAGTGTACAGAACCATGCATACACACATACACACACTCAGACACACACTCCCAGTCGCACCTGATCGTCTTTGAGGCCCGGCAACAGATGCCCCGGAATTGCCCAGTGGACAGCCCCAGATGATGGACCCCCCCAGATCGAAGGCAAGCGGGCAACCCGCCTGAGGCCGGCAGCACCCCACAGATGCAGCCACCCCCCCCGAGCCAACCCGCCAGCGCCTGCCGCCTCCGCCACACCCAGGACCCCCTACCCCACCCCGTCTGCCCCTCATCCACCTTGATCATTGATGGTGAACATGTGTGTGAACTAAGGTGTCGTTACAATATGGGGGAGCATATGGGGAAAAGACACCCCAGCCAGAGCTGCGGTCCTCCCCCACCGCCCCCCCAAGCCCTCAGTGTCTAAAGTGGAGTTAAAATAGAGGGGAAGGGAGCTGCGCAGTCCAGCTGTGGGCAGCCGAAGCAGCCGACCCAGGACCTGCACAGCTCCCCTCGCCCTCCAAGGCCCCATGTGAAAGAGTGGTGTGACATGTCCTTAGCTGACATTTGGTGTTGTCCCTGTGAGAGGTTGTAAATCAGAGTGACTTAGCAGCTGAAGGAAACATTATCTTTGACAGGTCAAAAATGTAAATATACGTTTGTGTCTGAAGACTGCTGGTGGAGCCGGTCAGCCGACGCCCCGCTGATCATGTCCTGTCGAGCTGCGTTTGAGAATCCGGCCACAGTGACCTGGTGCAAACAAGATGGTGGCCTCTGTACCCCTCTGAAGGACAAAGACAAGTACAGCCTCATGTGGCTTCAGCCCAGCCCGGCCTGGGGGGTCTCGTACCTCACCGTGTACAACATCGGCGCGGCGGATTCAGGAGAGTATCACTGCCACGCGTCACCGGCCGGTCCCTGTGTCACGGGAGACGTTCTCAGCAGTCCGATTCGGCTGCTGGCGTCAGGTGGGTCCATCTCTCATACACGTCCTTCACCTCTGCGACTGCAGACAGGTTAAACAGTTAATGATCATACTGCTCATTATGTCCAAGCACATGCTCATATGCAGGATGTATGTAGCATGCAGCAAAAACAGGAATTTGGTCAAAAGAAAGTGCACATATCTGTCAGTTCCAATGAATATGAAATAACTAACGGCCTCTTTCTGCCGTCACAAACAGGGGATGTGGTTAAACAATGTGGACGGGATGTAACAGTGGGTATGCTCAGACCACGCCTACATGTCAGCTATAATATGTGTATTAACATACATACATACATACATACATACATACACATGGTACACATTTTAAATGTATTCATGTCAGTAACTCCTGCAATGACACTGATATTTTGCATGTGTGTGTCTGTGTGTCTTCAAAGGGATTCTCAACATTGTGCAGATAGTAGAGATCACAGTTCTGCTGGGATCGTTTGCTGCTTTTAATGTTTACTGGAGACTGAAGTTGTCAGGTAAAAAAAGCAAACCATATGACCATCTGTCACGCCCACGCAGGCGGGACCCACCGGGTGCGCAGCATTACAGCTGATTAGCGGACTTTCAATAGAGACCGAGAAGCCGCTACACATT